CTTGAGAGTCCCTTGGACTGCAAGGAGATCCAACCAGTCCATCCTAAAGGAGATCAGTCCTGGGTGTTCATTGGAAGGACTGATGCTGAAGCTGAAACTCCAGTACTTTGGCCACCTCATGAGAAGAATTGACTTATTGGAAAAGACCCTGATGCTGGGAGGGATTGGGGGCAGGAGGAGAAGGGAACGACAGAGGATGAGATGGCTGGATGGCATCACCGACTCGATGGGCATGAGTTTGAGTAAACTCCGGGAGCGGGTAATGGACAGGGAGGCCTGGCATGCTGTGATTCATGGGATCGCAGAGTCGGACATGACTGAGCGACTGAACTGAACTGAAACAACACTTCAGACTGATGAGATCTAGTGGCGTCCATAAGAACAGGCTACACAACAAAAGCAGATTGCTTTTAACTGTACATGCAATATTCTTCACGAGAGGCTGTGTGCTAGAGAATATAATAAGCTTCAATAAATTTTAAAAGACTAAATTCATATGAAGTATGATTCTCTGATCACAGTGAAGTGGCATGAGACATGAAAACAGAAAGATATTAGAAATTCACAAATAGGTGGAAATCAAAAAACACATTCTTAAATTACCGTTGGGCCAAAGAAAAAGATTACAAGGAAAATTAGAAAATAGGGAATACTATAAACAACTATCCACCAACAAACTTAAAAACAGGATAAATTCCTATTAAAAAACACTTGCAACTCAATAATGAAAAGACAAATACCTTCTTAAAAGTAAGTCTAAATGGACATTTCTCCATAGAAAATAAACAAATGGCCCACAAACACATGAAAAATGTTCAGCATAATTAGACAACAGGGAAATTTAAATCAAAACCACAGTTTTATACCAGTTGGGCTTCCCCAGTGACTCAGGTGGTAAAGAATCCACCTGTAATGCAGGAGACCTGGGTTTGATCCCTGGATTGGGAAAATCCCCTGAAAAAGGGCAAGGCTACCCACTCCAGTATTCTGGCCTAGAGAATCCCATGGACTACAAAGTCCACGGAGTCGCAAAGAGTCAGACACGACTGAGCGACTTGCACTTTGCACTTTCACACTCACTAGGATGGCTATGATCAAAAAACAAACACGAATCTTGATAAGTATGTTAAAAAAAAATCAAAACTCTCATATGCCTCTAGAGGGAATATGAAATGATGCAGCCACTTTGGAAAACAGTCTGGCAGTTCCTTGGAAGTTTAAATATAGAGTCATCATATGGTCCAGCAATTCTACTAGGGTATAACCAAGAAAAATGAAGACATGTCCACACAAGAACTTGTACATAAATGTTCAAACCAGCATTATTCATAGTAGTCAAAAAGCGGAAATAATCTAAATGTCCATCAACTGGTAAACAGATAACAAAGAGGTGGTATACAACTGGACAACGAAATCTTATTTTACCATAAAAGGAATGATAGTGACAAACGAAGTAGTGATGAATGCTATAAGCTATAACATGAATGACACTTGAAAATATTATGCTACATACAGAAGACTCCATGTTATACGATTCCATTTATACAAAATGTCCAGAAGAGGCAAGTCCATGGGGACAAAAAGTGGATCAGTGGTTGCCTAAGGATGGGGAAGCTGTAGGCAGACAGGAACAGCCCATGAGGAGGTGTAGGTTTTCTTTTGAAAGAGGTGAAAATGTTTTAAAATTGATAATGGTGAACTAAAAATCATTAAATCATACACTTTAGTAAATTGTATGGTATATGAATTTATCTCCAAAAACTATTATTTTTAAAATTTATTAAGGAGGCAGAAAAAACTTACTAAGGAGAGACAGAATGAGAAAAAAAAATAGAAAGGGAAAACAGAAGGAGAGAGGAAAGTTTCTTTAAGTTAAAATTAATAAGACCCTGGTGGTCCAGTGGCTAAGACTCTGCATCTAATGCAGGGGCCCTGGGTTCAATCCCTGGTCAGGGAACTAGTTCCCACATGTTGCAACTAAAGATCCTGAATGCCACAAAGAAACTCACCTGAGCCAAATAAATAAATATTTTTTAAAATAAAGAAGGGTCCAAGCAGAGAATTTGAGAGAAACATCAGGGCGAACAGTAGCACTGTTAACTTCCTTCAACTTGCCCAAGTTGTTTCTCTCTCTCAGCCTCAGTTTCCTCATCTGTAAAATTATGAGTTTGACCCATCCTATCAGAATTCTCAAGGATCTGTGTTTCTCTGATACCTCTGCTCAGGTCTGAGGGGCTGTAAACACTTAAATCCATCAGTTATCTTCTCAGAGCTGCCATTATAAAATGGACTAAAGTCGAGAATTCTGCTCTGTCAGTCTTCTGGAACTTTCTACACCCTGACCCACTTCCTCACGAATTTCTCACTCTCCCACACTTCTTTTCAACCCTTGACTTCTGCTACTCTCAAAATGTTAGCCATTCAGTTGTATCCAACTCTTTGCAACCCCATGGACAGTAACCCGCCAGGCTCCTCTGTCCATGGAATTCTCCAGACAAGAATACTGGAGTGGATAGCCATCCCCTTTACCAGGGGATCTTCCCAACCCATGGATCGAACCTGGGTCTCCTGCATCGCAGGCAGATTCTTTACCATCTAAGCCACCTCCCAAAGCTTGTCTTCAGATGACACTGAGGTCCCTAGAAAGCCTGCCTTGGTCTGTCTTACCTGGCATCTCGAGTGTCTGGGAGGGTACGATCCAGGGGCAACCGGTCACTGAGGTACACGTTATAGCCAAACTTCTGGAAGAGGTCCTCAGCCTCTTTCTGCTGAGCCTCAGAAAGGTCCCTACCCCACTTCCTGAAAAGTTTTGAGTCTGGGAAGAGAACCTTGTGGGGATTTTCCTTGAAGAAGCCACCCTCCTTGGCATGAGCTGTATCTGGAAAAGGATGCCTTTCATCTTTCACCGTTGCCAGCCTGCCAACCCCATCTTCTGATTGTTTCGTAGCCAACTTCATAGTTTGTTCTGCAAACGAAAGGCAGGGGAGAAAACATCTCAGCCAGTTGTTAGCTACCAGGGCATTACTTTCTCATCCACATTTCCTTGAAATGTTTTTCTCCCCAGACTTTTAGCAGGGTGCAACAGAACAAGTGTGCAAGGAGTTGTAGGTATTGGCAAGAGAAGACCTAGAGAGATGGTATCGCTATGGAGAGGTTGAATGAGCTTGCTCCAGGGTCCTGAGGGTGTGGTCAGGGCTAGATAGTATGTGTTTGTCATTTTCGAGGGGAGCAGTTCGGGGGGATGACAAAGCCCAGAGTACACTGTGAAAGAGTGAGGCAGGAGCCTTTACAGAGGGGTAGCCGAGCGATTGGATCAGTTAATCACAGGACGCTACAGGGACCCGGGTGACAGCAGGACTCGGGGCAGAGATGAAGACTGTGAATGGATGGCCGTGGTGTGGCCTGTAAGGAGGGAGAGAGTGTGTCGAGATTGGCAGGAAAGTGTCGGCTGAGGAAAGAGGACAGTCAGGCTTTCGTGATAAGTAATGGGCTGTTACAATAGTCTTCTGACTCCTTCCTTCAATGGAAGCAAAAGGATATTTGGGATCACCCGAGATGGTGGAATTCAAAGAGCCCGAGATCACCCTCTCTCTCTCAAGCACACCAGCATCAATACCATCCACAGAGCAACCATGGGTGACAAAGGCCAGAAAAGATCTTCCACAACTAAAGGCATCAAGAAACTGGAGGGACCTCCCTGGTGGGCCAGGGGGCCTGGGTTTGATCTGTGGTCAGGAAACTAGATCCCATGTGCTGCAACTAAGACCCAATACAGCCAAAGAAAAATTGGAGACCCCCAAACTGGAGAGTGATTATATTGCAGAGGTTCTCCTCCAGGAGTGAGTGTTCTGAGCTGCATGTAGGAGTCCCCAGCCTGGGGATCCTGCACCAGGAAAATGAGCCCCCGCAACACTTGACTTTGAAGACCAGAAAGGCTTAATTTTGAAGTCCCAAGGGGCTGGGAGAAATAGAGATTTCACTTTTAAAGGGCACACACACAAAACCTCAGGCACACCAGGACCCAGAGCAAAAGCAGTCATTTAATAGAAGCCTGGGCAGACCTACTTACCTGTTGGTCTTAGAGAGTTTCCTGGGGGTGGGGGTTGGGATGCTGTCACTCTGGGGACAGAGACACTGGCAGGAACCATACTTGGGAACTTTCAATTGAACGAAAGCTGGAGTTGACTGATTAGTATTTTCCAAGTCCAGCATTGACTATGACACTCCTCAGCATTCAACCCCAAAATGGTAACCATGGTGATAGCAACAGAGTAAAGGGACCAAGTAGGTGATTAAATAGTTAATCCCACTAGCAAGGTGTAAGTAGAAAAAAATATGGGAGACCTCTGTAAGTTAACCGTCACTTTAAGAAAGCAGGTTTGCTTAACCACAGAAGCAAGCAGGCTTCCTTAGCCACAAAACCATGCAACAGAAACATGAGACATGCCCCCAAACAATAAAACAATGGTGGCATGAGCCCCACATCCTGCCCAGTGAGTTCAACAATTTAATGATCCTTAGGGTGCGCTCTCTCTACACATCAAAATAATAGTTATGGAAAGATGACATTTCAAAGTGAAAGGCACTCATTGTACCGAGACCTGGAATAATTTTCCCATAGTGCCATGATAGTCCTGGCTTGACCATGTAGGGACAAGAAACCCCACCCCCCCACCCAACCTGGAGAAGGGGCTGATGATGGAAGCATGACATCTACCCAAGAATGAGGAAGAAGGTTTTCTCCCCCTCCCCACTTTTCCTTTGATTATAAAACTGTAGCCTGCTAAGTTCTTCCGGAAGCACCCTCTGGCCTACCCACTTTAAGCCTCTCAAGCATCCTATTCTAATCAGTTCAGCTCAGTTCATTTCATTCGCTCTGTCGTGTCCAACTCTTTGCGACCCCATGGACTGTAGCACGCCAGGCTTCCCGGAGCTTCCTCAAAGTCGTGTAGATTGAGTCAATGATGCTATCCAACCATCTCATCCTCTGTCACCCTCTTCTCCTCCTGCCCTCAATCTTTCCCAGCATCAGAGTCTTTTCCAATGAGTCAGTTCTTCACATCAGGTGGTCAAAGTATTGGAGCTTCATCAGCATCAGTCCTTCCAATGAATATTCAGGGTTGATTTCCTTTAGGAATGACTGGCTTGATCTCCTTGCAGTGACTTTCAATTCTATTCTATTAAGGGACTCTCAATTCCTATTCTAATAAATTCCTTACCTATCACTTTGCCTCTCACATGGAATTTTTTCTGCTTTAAGACGTAAAGCACCAGAGCTCTTCAAAGGCCCCCAAAATACCCGCCTAGTGGTTTCGGTTCAAAGGCACTCCACCAGAGGGACTCGCTTAAGGTCCCACCAATCCCCGCTATGCTGTTTTTCAGTCACTTCAGTTGTGTCTGACTCTTTTCAGCCCCATGGACGGTAGCCCACCAGTCTCCTCTGTCCATGAGATTTCCCAGGCAAAAGTACTGGAGTGCATTGCCATTTCCTCCTCCAGGGGATCTTCTCCGGCCAGGGATTGAACCTGCATCTCATGCACTGACTGGCAATTCTTTATCACTGAGTCACCAGGGGAGTCCCAGTCCTTCCTTAGACACACAATAAACTCCAACCAAATTGATGGGATCACCTCTAGCTCATGTAGTACCAACCTGCAAGTTAGAAGAGAATCCCTTTTTCGGATGACTGCAGCCCTGGGGTACCAGCTTCAGGAGAGGACGGTCCCACTGTGTGAACCCCTCTGGACAGAGGCAGCTCCACACCACAGCACGCGGTTTGGTGTGCAAAACGTGGGCAGAATTTCAGCTACACGCCTAGCCCCTAAGAGGGATGCAGGGAAACCTTACAAGTGGGAGGAGGTTATTTTTGGAAGGTGACCTAAATCTGGCCCGTGAACGAGAAGAGTCAACCACATAAGTGCCTATGAGACGGAAAGAGGACGGTCAAAGCAAACCTGGAAAGAAAAATAAATGGAGGATCTTTCAGAGAAGGCTCCTGGGGACTAGCTCTCATATTTGCTCAGGCAGAAAATAAAAATGGGAGCGCGATTTTCACACTATTCCAAATCAAATCATATTTTGATTCAAACTCTTCTGTGCTAAGCACGGGGATCACAGAATGGCCTTGGATTTGGGGGCCTTTAAATTCCCTTATACTCCTCTTTGGCGATTCCCTGGTGGCTTAGATGGTACAGAGTCTTCCTGCAATGCAGGACACCTGGGTTCAGTCCCTGGGTCGAGAAGATCTCCTGGAGAGGGAAATGGCAACCCACTCTAATATTCTTGCCTGGAGGATCTGGTGGACAGAGGAGCTTGGCAAGCTATAGCCCATGGGGTGGCAAAGTGTCGCACACGACTGAGCGAACAACAGTTTCACTTTTCACACTCCGCTCTGGGGGTTATCTGATCTACCACTCTCATTCACTGCTGTCAGTGGGAAATTGTTGAAGATGGAAGCGCAGAACCCGGCGGGATGAAGACTGTGTTACTAGACCACCTCCAAGGCCCAAAGGGGACACACCCAAGTGCGTCACTCTGATGGGGCCTTTTAAGAACCCCCAGGAAAGTTCCAGAAAACTGGTTTAGAGTTATCAAGCCCTTCCACAATAGGGATATGATTATCATTATGTGTTTGCTTTGGCTCTTCACAGACTTCATAATTTGCTCAGGTGTCCTTACTGTCATGATTTTCTTCAGTCTTCTTGGAGATAAGGAGCAACCAGAAGGAGGGGTCATTGAACCAGCTTTCCATTTCAGCAAGCCCTTCTGGAAAGAAAAGCATTTGTGATCTGGAAATGGGGTCCAGAAAACATTTTGAAATTCATCTCAGCGGGTAGGTAGTCCCTGACACCACGTCATTTCTAAGTGAATAGAATGTGTGGAGCATAGAGAACCACAAGCAAAGGAGGAACTGGTTGTGCAAAGAAAGAGATGGAAATAAACAGCTCTGGATGGCTTCTCAGGGCACATCATGTCCCAGCCAGAGGAAAGACTAGCCAGGCTCTTGGCAGAAATCCTGCTATTTTAAGACCTGAGGAGGCTGACACAGGGTGGGTGAGCCAGAGAGCTGGTGTGGTCTGCGTGCTCAGCCAAGGAGTGACAGTGATGGCCAAGGTACACAGACATCCTCTGGTGAAACTGCACGGGGAATGTTTGCATAGTCAACGTGCAAACCAGCCAAGGGCTGTCAAAGCCAGGGCCTCGGGAGCTGACAATCTTCTCTGTTTTCCCTAATTCTTTCCCCTGGATCACCCTTCTCTTCATCCCTGGCTGCCTGTCCTCTGTTCTCTCCTTCCTACATTCAGTCACTCACTCATCTATTTAATTTCTCTGTGCCAGGCCCAGGGCATAGAGTGGTAAAGCACATCACAAGACACTCATCAACTGAACCGTCCCCTAAGAAACCTTCCCTGGTGGCTCAGACGGTAAAGAATCTGCCTGCAATGCAGGAGACCCAGGTTCGATCCCTGAGTTGGGAAGATCCCTTGAAGAAGGAAATGGCAATCCACTCCAGTATTCTTGCCTGGAGAATCCCATGGACAGAGGAGCCTGGTGGGCTACACAGTCTATGGGGTCTGACATGACTGAGTGACTAACACTTTCACTTTGTGAAAACTGCCTTCCAGAAATCTGAACCACAATAACATAAGAGTCTTGTGATGGGGGATGGAAACCATGCTTCATGCCTCCTTCTCTCTCCCCTCATCTATTTTCCCTTTTTTCCTCCCTATCAATTCTTCCACCCTCCACCCTGGACATTTTCACTCTGGGCTCCATTTCTGTGCTCCTCTCTTGTCCCCTCTCCATATCTCCCCTTCTCTAATTTCTTCCCTTCCTTTCCTCTTCCTGTCTGACCTTCCATCTATCCCTTTGCCTCACCCTGAACCCTGACAAGGCTCAGTTCTTGTTTTTTTTGAAAGACACTCCCTAGGCTTCCCTGGTGGTCCAGTGGCTAAGAATCTGCCTGCCAATGCAGGGGGACATAGGTTCGATCCCTGGTCCAGGAAGATTCCACATGCAGTGGAGCAACTAAGCCGATGCATGCACACAACTGCTGAGCCTGTGCGCTAGAGCCCAGGAACTGCAGCTACAGAGCCCATGGGCTGAAACTACTGAGCCTGGGTGTCCTAGACCCCGTGCTCTGCAAGAAGAGAAGCCACTGCAATGAAAAGCCTGTTCACTGCAACTAGAGTGTAGCCCCTACCCTCCGCAACTAGAGAAAGACTGACTGCGACAACAAAGACCCATCACAGCCAAAATAACTAAAATAAATAAATAAACATAATTATTTTTTTAAAGACACTCCCCAAGGCTATTATGCTAAGTGAAATAAGTCAGACAGAAAAAGACAAGAATTATATGATATCACTTATATGTGGAATCTAAAAAAAAATACAACAGGCTAGTGAATATAACAAAAGAGAAAAGAGAAATAGACTCAGATATAGAGAACACACTAGTGGTTATCAATGTTTGCAGGCAACACAGGAGTAGGGCAAGGGGAGGCGCAGATTGTTACTGGATGTAACATAGGCTCATGCATGTACTGTACAACATGGGGAATATAGCCAATATTTTATAATAAATGTAAATTTAAAATAACCTTTGAAATTCTATAAAAATTTTAAAAATTAAAAAAATTAAACAAAAAGAGGAAATTTCCTGGTGGTCCAGTGGCTAAGACTCTGCACTCCCAATACAGGAGGCCTGGGTTTGATCCCTGGTCTGGAAACTAGATTCCAAATGCCATGACTAAAAGGTATCACATGGCATAACTAAAGGTCCTGCATGCTGCGATGTAGATCAGAGATTCTACACACCGCAACTGGGACGTAGTGCAGCCAAATAATTAAATAATCATTTTTCTTTTAATTAAACAGAAAAAAAAAGACACTCCCCACCACCCAGGCTCCACGGGCACACAGCCACACATCTGCGCACTCTATTCTCTCCTCTCACATTCCAGGCCCCTCTCCTCCAGGGCATGAGCATGAGATTCTTATCATGCGGGAAGCCCATGACTCCTGCCTTCACTGGAAGCAGATGCCAAGATACATGAAATTCACAGGGGGTAGAGTTTCATGGTGAGTTTTAAAAACAAACCCCAGAATTCCTGGGAAGAGGTTAAAATGTGCTAGACCCTGAGGGCATCATCTTAAGTGAAAAAAGCCAAAGACAAATATTATTGGGTCTCATTGATGTGTGGAATCTAAAAAAAAATACAACAGGCTAGTGAATATAACAAAAGAGAAAAGAGAAATAGACTCAGATATAGAGAACACACTAGTGGTTATCAATGTTTGCAGGCAACACAGGAGTAGGGCAAGGGGAGGCGCAGATTGTTACTGGATGTAACATAGGCTCATGCATGTACTGTACAACATGGGGAATATAGCCAATATTTTATAATAAATGTAAATTTAAAATAACCTTTGAAATTCTATAAAAATTTTAAAAATTAAAAAAATTAAACAAAAAGAGGAAATTTCCTGGTGGTCCAGTGGCTAAGACTCTGCACTCCCAATACAGGAGGCCTGGGTTTGATCCCTGGTCTGGAAACTAGATTCCACATGCCATGACTAAAAGGTATCACATGGCATAACTAAAGGTCCTGCATGCTGCGATGTAGATCAGAGATTCTACACACCGCAACTGGGACGTAGTGCAGCCAAATAATTAAATAATCATTTTTCTTTTAATTAAACAGAAAAAAAAAGACACTCCCCACCACCCAGGCTCCACGGGCACACAGCCACACATCTGCGCACTCTATTCTCTCCTCTCACATTCCAGGCCCCTCTCCTCCAGGGCATGAGCATGAGATTCTTATCATGCGGGAAGCCCATGACTCCTGCCTTCACTGGAAGCAGATGCCAAGATACATGAAATTCACAGGGGGTAGAGTTTCATGGTGAGTTTTAAAAACAAACCCCAGAATTCCTGGGAAGAGGTTAAAATGTGCTAGACCCTGAGGGCATCATCTTAAGTGAAAAAAGCCAAAGACAAATATTATTGGGTCTCATTGATGTGTGGAATCTAAAAAGAATGGGGGGAAATGAGTTCATAAATGCAAAGAACAGGGACTGCCCTGGCAGTCTGGTGGCTAAGACTCCGCACTCACAGCGCACGGGGCCCTGGTTTGATCCTTAGTCAGGGAACTAGATCTCACATGCTGCAACTGAGAGGTCTGCATGCTGCAACTAAAGAAAGATTCTCAAAGATCTCATATGTGGCACAGTCAAATATATATATATATTTTAAAGATACAGGGAACAGATTAGTGGTTGCTAGAGGCAGGGTGGAGGTGAGCAAAGTGTGTAAAGAAGGTCAAAAGCTACACACTCCCAGTTATAAAATAAATAAGTCCTGGAGATATAATGTACAGTGTGGCAACTATAGTCAATAATGCTGTATTGTATGTTTAAAAGCTGGGGACAGAGTAAATCTCAAAGTCCTCATCCCCAGGTAAAAATGTAGAACTATGTGAGACAGCAAATGTTAATCAGATTTATTGTGACCATTTCATGAAATATACAAATATTGAATCCTTATGTCCTACACATGAAATTAATGTAATCCTATGACTTATTTGAAAAGACCCTGATGTTGGGAAAGATTGAAGGCGGGAGGAGAAGGGGACAACCAAGAATGAAATGGTTGAATGGCATCACTGACTCAATGGACATGAGTTTGAGTAAACTCTGGGAGTTGGTGATGGACAGGGAGGCCTGGTGTGCTGCAGTCCATGGGGTCGCAAAGAGTCAGACACAACTGAGTGACTGGACTGAACTAAACTATATGTCAGTTGGGCTTCCCAGGTGGCACTAGTGGTAAAGAATCTGCCTGCCAATGCAGGAGACTCAGAAGATATGGGTGCTATCCCTGGGTCAGGAAGATCCCCTGGAGGAGGGCATGGCACCCCACTCCTGGAGAATTCCATGGACAGAGGAGCCTGGAGGGACACAGTCCATGGGGGTGGCAAAGAGTCAGACACAACTGAGCAACTAAGCAGCTGCAGCATATGCCAACTATAACTCAATTTTAAAAAGAGGTTGACATGTAGGACACATCAGCCAGGGGGCTCTTTCTGCACAGACTTCACCAGGGTGTGTGTGCCCCCTCCGAGGTGCACACACACACACGCACACACACACACACACACACAGCCTGTTCCCCTCCATCAGCTGCTGGCTCTGAGTCCCACTAATTCTCCCTCCTTTTCCCTCCACACCCCTTTATTCTGTGCCCCTAAACACACACTCACAGGCACAGACAGGCACACACACCGTCCCCTTTGAGTCAGTGCTGCCGACTTACTCAGATGCTGCAAATCCGCCTCCAGTCGAGAGAGTCTGTCCATCACTGTCCCATTCTGTTCAGACGGAGCGAAATGCAGCTTCTTCTGATGATCCCCCAGGATCAACTCCTGTACAATCCTCTTGGTGTAAAATATCAGGAGGAGGTTGAGAGCGAAGACCAGCGGCAGCCCGATGCTGAGGACTCTGAGGACATTTCTCCTGAGCATGTTATTCTGTCCCTGGCTCTGCTGCTTCCTGGGGGCCGAGGGGAGTGTCACTGCCCGGGCAGGCTGAGGATCACAATGAGCTGGGCCCTGACTGTGCTGGCTGCATAGAGGATACCCTGCCCGCTGAGCCAGATGCTCTGCGTAGGAAAGCTGCACCGGGCTGCCTGGTTCTCCCCGGGCGGCGTCAGGCGTGCGGAATGTGTCATGGCAGCCGCCCAAGGATGGGCAAGTCACCTGGGCACACCTTGTGTGGAAGTCAAGTTGCTGCTTGCTCCCGGAGCCAGCGGAGGCTCGTCTCTCGGTTCTGTTTGATTTCCTTTTGGTTCTGAATGTTTCTTCTCTCTGGTAGGAGACTCACCGAAAGGGCCTGTGAGGTCTGGACCTGTGAGTGTAGCAGAGAGGAAACAGTAGAAGGGAAGAGCCCACTGAGTGAAAAGTTTCTGGACCACGTGCTTCTTGACAGCAAGGATGGTGTCTGAGATGAGCCGGTGGCTCAGTGGTAAAGAACCCTTCTGCCAATGCCAGAGACACAGGACATGCAGGTTTGATCTCTGGGTCAGGAAGATCCCCTGGAGGAGGAAATGGCAACCCACTCCAGTATTCTTGCCTGGAGAATCACATGGACAGAGGAGCCTAGAGGGATATATCTGTGGGGTCACAACTCTTTGGATACAACTCTTTGGACACGACTAAGTGACTGAGCATGCTTGCATATAGGGTCTTGAAAATTATAGGTCTGTAACAGTAGTCAGTTCAGGAAAACTTCCTGCGGGTTCTACCTAGAAGCAGATGAGTGAGCTGGAGGGGGCCCACTGGGGTAAGCCCCAGGGCTCAGCCTTGCTTCACTAGTCACTGCCCAGCTCTGCACACTGGGGTGCTAGCCTCCCCTCACCCTCAGCTCCCAGTAACTCTTCTGCCCCACACCTTGCACCCACTGCATGCTTTGGACAAATCACCTGATTATCATCATCACAGATTAACATTTAAAATAGTTCCCCAGGGTTTCCCTCGTGGTCCAGTGGTTAAGAATCCACCTGTCATGGGATGTTTTGAGAGAACAGCATCGAAACATGTATATTATCTATATTTTAAAAATAATAATAGTAAAATAGTTACCCAGAGCCCCAAAGTTCAAAGTTCTTAATTAAGGGTTGAATCGCTTCATAATATCCACTCTGTCCCAGGTCCCCAAACACAGCACATGCAGACGAGTGTGGATTAAAGCAAAGACACAGGATTTTAGGAAAAGCAGGTGGAAAGAAAAAGAACCAAATGAAAAGTAATCAGTTCTTTTGTTTTCATCAGTTTTTCCCTTGCATTCACATGCAAATTAGAGTCAAAAGAAATTTTAAATGGCTGATTGCTTCCGTTTCTGATGCAAAGTAGAATGGACCCACTTGTCTCTATTCCTCTCCACTAAGAATAACCAAAAGCTCAGGCCACTGTACATCGGACTCTAAAAGGTGGAGAGAATAGAGCAGACTAGCTAGAGATCTTGAGACCTGAGGAAAAACTCAGTAGTGAGTTCTCTGGTTTCGCTTTTCAGCTGAGAGGTCCTAGACTGAACACTGAGAAGTTGCCAACCTGTCCATGTCAACAGGCAAAGGCTATAAAAGCACCGAGAAATGCCTGCTGTCTATATACAAAGGAGCAGTCTAGCAAGACAGAAAACCTTCAAATAATAACTGCCCTACTCCAGGGATTTCTCTGATGGTCCAGTGGCTAAGACTCTGCACTCCCAGGACAGGGCGCCCGGGTTCAATCCCTGATCAGGGAACTAGACCCCACATGAAGTGCAACTAAAGATCCCACATGCTGCAACTAAGACCCAGTGCAGCAAAGTAAGCAAAGATTTTTTAAAAAACAAAAACAACAACCAAAAAAACTGCCCTTCTCCAGCCAAACAGCTCTGAAAACCCATTGCATCAGGACCACTCATCAACAAAGACCACACGGGAAGCCTGCACTCCTACCCCCCTTCTCCAGCTGTGACGAGGGGCGCCTTCCACCATCCCCCTTCAGGATGGAGTCAGAGAGCCGTAACTTTTGTCCCTGTTCCCTGTGATGTCAGTAAGAACAGCACTGAAGTGTCCCTCTCTCTCTCGGCCAGTGTGGTGTCAGCAGAGAGCTCAAGGGGAGACTGAACTTCCTCCCCGTCCACAGCAATAGTGAGGCCTCCCTCCCCCAGGTGGCAATGGAGGCCAAGTGGGAAGCCTAGACTTTCACCCCTCCCTGTCGTAACGAAGTGGCATCTCCCTTTCCCCACCAGAGCAGTGTCAGAAAGTCCTGCTAAAACAGAAAATTTAAACAAGACACAGAATCTCATGATATAATACCAAAATGTCCAGGATACAACAATAAAAAAAAAAAAATTATGTGCCATACCAAGAACCAGGAAAATCTCAACTTGAATGAGAAAAGGCAATCAACAGACACTAAAAGCAGTAGGACACAGATGTTGAAACTGTTTTATAAGGGTTTTAAAGCAGCTATTAGAAAAGTACTTTGACAAGCAGTTAACAAACATGCTTGAAAGAAATGAGAAAAATAGTCTCAGCAAAGAAGTAGAAAATCTCAGGAAAGAAATAGAAGACATAAAGGAGAACCAGATGGAAATTTTTTAACTGGAAAGTAAAATAAATAAAAATTTTAAATGGTTTCTGTCTGTCTGTCTGTTAGTCGCTCAGTCGTGTCCAACTCTTTGCAACCCCACGAACTGTAGCCCGCCAGGCTTCTCTGTCCATGGAATTCTCCAGGCAAGAATACTGGAGTGGATTGTCATTCCCTTCAATTACAGTGTCTTAAATCCTCCTGGGGAAAAAAAATGGTGATTCAATCATTAATAATGTCTGTCTTTTCTTTCCCTTGCATACAACCTCCAGCCAGACAGTAAACATTTCAGAGCGGGTTGCTTTTGTCGATCATGCTGACTTCTTAGAAGGAAATTCCAGCCCCCTTCCATACTTCACCACCAAAATTTCTGCTCATTCTATGATCACTAAAGGATAGTGTGTCCTCAATAGGTTAAACTGTACCCTTTCTTAACCAGTTACAAATATCTGCATAATTTCAGAGGATTCATTCATTTGACAAGGAATAGGGTTGATGACAGTGGCTAAGAAAAAGCTTATTTGTGGATTGTGAGCACGTGTTGGAAAGAAAGAGAAAATAAATCTCTTGTAAGTGGTAGGACCAGCCAGCGGTAGGCACTGGGTGCATGTGATCTCATCTGGCCTTCATAACCACCCTGTGATGGGAGGACTATTACTCCATATCACAGATAAGGAAGCAGAATCAGAAGGTTAAGCACTCTGGATTAGGTTGTACTTGTTCCAGCTTTTTAATCATACTTTTTTATGCTATGGGGCTTCCCTGGTGGCTCAGCTGGTAAAGAATCCACCTGCAATGTGGGAGACCTGGGTTCGATCCCTGGGTTGGGAAGATCCCCTGGAGAAGGGAAAGGCTACCCACTCCAGTATTCTGGCCTGGAGAATTCCATGGACTGTTACAGTCCATGGGGTTGCAAAGAGTCAGACGTGACTGAGCGTCTTTCACTTTTTTATGCTGTAGTTTGGGGGATTAGTACAGATAAACTGCAGAGTTTTTCTTTGGCACAGATATCCATGTTCTAATGTCCTTCCTGACCTCCTGGACTGGTTGCCTATATATTTGTCATTATGGTAAAGTGTATGTATGATGCAGAAACAAGAGTTCCAAGGCAACAGTTTTTCACTTCAACTGCTTAGCCAGGAGTGGGACTATAAGATCGTAAGATGCCTCCCCTCACCACCCCCAAAATCATAAGGTGAGCAAAATTGTTGAGTAAGAAATTCACTTTAAAGATGGCCTTTCCCATTGATAATCAAGAGGCTTAGACAAGTTTTTCCACCAGAACAACAGAGGAAAGAGAATCACACTGCAAAATTAGCACTGTAAAATCTAACACATTTGTACATAATTAGGAAGAGCCAATGGTGTAATCAATACAACTGATAAACATTTAACTTTGAGAAATAGTAGAACAACCGGATTCCTTGCAATTAGTTCATCCGTTCTGAGTACTTATCAAAGAATAGAGTTGGGCCAAGGAAAAAAATAGCCTAAAAAAATGGACCAATATAGATGGCAGAACAAAGCAACATAAGAAGAGAGGATCTGGACTCAAAACCAAAGCATGTCTGGCTTTTTTCTTTGTTTTTTTTTTATCACATCTGGTTGTGAGTTTCATCAGAGACCTAGCCAGAAAGTCTTGGACATTATCATCAGAACTAGAGTAGATGTAAGTTTTATGTAATTGTCCATGCCCAGACTTGTCCATGTAATTCACTTACATAAACCTTTAAACTCAGTTCTTCAAATGTTATCTGATGGATGCTATTTGAAGCATGATCATAGTTACCAGCTGCCACCTGCCAGCAACAGCTCAGCTTCTGTTTCATTTAGGCATTCCAGTGAGACTTTAAATAATTCAAGGTGAAACTATCCCTTTGAAAAAAAAATATATGAAGAAGCACTTAGGAAAAGATATTCAGGAATTTCAGACAAGTGCTGGTTAGTTTGTTGGGTTTGAGAAAGTGGTATCTCTATCTTACGTTGAATTTACTGAAGATTCAGCTGAAAACAAGGGCTTCCCAGGTGGTTCAGTGGTAATGCATCCACCTGCCAATGCGGGAGACAAAGACATGTGGGTTTGATCCCTGGGTCAGGAAGATCCCCTGGAATAGGAAATGACAACCCACTCCAGTATTCTTGCCTGGAAAATTCCATGGATAGAGGCATTTGACGGGCTGCAGTCCATAAGGTCGCAAAGAGTCAGACCCAACTGAGCACACACATGCAGTTGAAAACATATAAGAAAACACCACAATGCTTTTAAAAAAAAAAAAAATTCTGGAATCAATGTCTGTTTCCAGCTATGACAGAGTATTTGGAATCAGATTGTCCCTCTTGATAAGACTATAAAACTGAACAAAATATATGAGACACTGGTTTTCAGGCAGTAGGCAACAATTAACTGTGATCCTTAAGAGAACGGAAACATGAGATGAACCCTACATTTACCCCCATCTCTCAATCTGGAGACCATTTTGCAACCATGGCGTAAGATAGTAAGCCCCAAGCAGAATCAGAGAGCAGAGTTTGGCAGTTGCTAAAGCATCTGTAAATTTCAGGGCAGGGAACCAAAAAGTTAAAGGAGCTACATAGAAAGAGGAAGATTTCTGAGGAGTCCCTCCAGATTCCCAGACAAGGGAATGAGCCAGGGAGAAACTCCACAAGGTCTAGTTAGCAAACTGCTACAGGCCTGAGGCATAACAAAGATACTAGAGATCACACAGTCTTGGTAGATACAGGAATTCTGGCTGAGTCACAAAGAAGACATCTTAGTAAAAACACCCTAAGTATTCTGCTAAGACAGTAGGAAAACCACTGCTTACATGTAAGAACCATGCCCAAGGATAAAGGACACTCTAATCCCATCACTTCATGGCAAATAGAGGGGGAAACAGTGAAAACAGTGGCTGACTTTCTTTTTCTGGGCTCCAAAAGCATTGCAGATGGTGATTGCAGCCATGAAATTAAAAGACACTTACTCCTTGGAAGGCAAGTTACGACCAACCTAGACAGCATATTAAAAAGCAGAGACATTACTTTGTCAACAAAGATTTGTCTAGTCAAGGCTATGGTTTTTCCAGTAGCCATGTATGGATGTGAGAGTTGGACTATAAAGAAAGCTGAGTGCCGAAGAATTGATGCTTCAAACTGTGGTGTTGGAGAAGACTTTCAACCAGTCCGTCCTAAAGGAGATTAGCCCTGGGTGTTCATTGGAAGGACTAATGTTGAAGCTAAAACTCCAATAATTTGGCCACCCGATGCAAAGAGCTGACTCATTTGAAAAGACCCTGATGCTGGGAAAGATTGAGGGCAAGAGGAGGAGAGGTCTATGGTTTTTCCAGTAGCCATGTATGGATGTGAGAGTTGGACTATAAAGAAAGCTGAGTGCCGAAGAATTGATGCTTTCAAACTGTGGTGTTGGAGAAGACTCTTCCAACCAGTCCGTCCTAAAGGAGATTAGCCCTGGGTGTTCATTGGAAGGACTAATGTTGAAGCTAAAACTCCAATAATCTGGCCACCCGATGCAAAGAGCTGACTCATTTGAAAAGACCCTGATGCTGGGAAAGATTGAGGGCAAGAGGAGGAGAGGATGACAGAGGATGAGATGGCTGGATGGCATCACCGACTCAATGTGCCAACTAAAGAAGGTATGAATAAGGCAGCAATATACTCATACCATTAAAACACAGACCTTATCCACCTAGCATGTAAATAAGGTAGATTTACCAGGACTTGTTGTGGGTTAGGTTTTATGGTGCCATGGGCAAAAGTGAATCCCAGTGTGCCACGGCCTACCCCGCCGATTGGTAACCAAGGCCAAAGGTTAGGCCCACAAAGCCATTGGGTTCCATTGGGTGCCACCCAGCGGATTCCAGGGTTATATTTCCAATCAGAGCCTGGCCAATGGATGGACTGGTTGGGGTGGTATGTAACCTCAAATGTTCATTTACATTGTTTGGGAGATAGGTACCCCATATATTTTAGCTCTTTTGGGTCTAATGGACAGTCACCAAACCCCACCGTTTGTTCTTTTTGTTCCCAGCATATAGCGGTGGGAGTAATTACTTGACCCTTCTCTGGGGTCATCCAGAAATATTCATCCCAGACTTGTATAATTGTTCAACATACCTAGAAACCTATCCTCCCTTGCCAGTCAGGGTGTTCTTTTCCTTTTTGTTCTTTAAATATGAAGTAGGTGCCCAATATGCTACTCATTGGAAAAGACCCTGATGCTAGGAGGAATTGGGGGCAGGAGGAGAAGGGGACGCCAGAGAATGAGATGGTTGGATGGCATCACCAACTCAATGGACATGAGTTTGAATAAACTCCGGGAGTTGGTGATGGACAGGGAGGCCTGGCGTGCTGCAATTCATGGGGTCGCAGGGAGTCGGACATGACTGAGCGACTGAACTGAACTGATAGGCTTTTGTGACTTCTATGAAACTGGTGTTTACATCAAATGTAACCCCGTGACTCTAGTCTGTTGACTGTAGGTCTGTCTTACACCAAGAGAGCAGGGAAAGATTATGACTGACAAGAGAAAGGAAAGTCTCTTTTTGTCATTCCAGAAAAGAGCAGAGTGGTTTAAAATCTCCTTGGCGGAGCAGTGACACCCACCAAGGAAGTCCATCCATCACAGACAGAGGCATAGCCCCACACTCCCAGTAGTTGGAGGTGTTGTGGAAGTCCGCGTAGGAATATGCCCATGAGATGAAAACACTGTCCTCAGTTGAAACGGAAGTTAAATTCAAAACCACATTGATGAGGCCAAGCAGCAGGGGTGGATTATGTGGCTTCATCCTGAAGGGGCTCGTCCAGGATCTTCTTTTCTTTCTTCTTCTTAAGGATGATCTTAGTCTCTCGAGGGTCAGTGGGGTCCTTTGTTTAGTCCACTCAGTGTTTCCTGGGTCTGCGTGGTATGCTCTCTTCATCCTCATGTGGATCCAGGGAGTGACACGTGCAACTTTAACTGCCGTAGGGCTGGTTAGAACAACAGTATATGGACCCTTCCGATGTGGGGCCAAGGAGTCATGTTTCCACTCCTCAACCCACACCTGATCCCCGGCACAAATTCGTGGATCTCTTCCCCAAGTGGGAATGGCACCCTTTCTTGTACAAAGTTAATTACCTGATTTATTACCTTACCCAGTTGTTCCATCTGCTGCGAAATCTCATCTCCCCTTACCTGAGGCAAATTTGTTGACACCTGTTTTATTATGGGAGGGGGCCTCCCATACACAGTTTCATACAGAGAATAGCCATGGGACCGTGGGGTCATCCTGATTCTGAGCAGAGCCGTCTGGAACAAGTCCCCCCCACAGTCAGTCTCTGTGATCCACTTGGAGGGTGTCTATTTAAGTGTCCGGTTGGTTCCTTCCACCATCCCAGAACTCTGGGCCTATATGCTGTATGTAATTTCTACTTGATGTTTAAAGCTTTGCTTACTTGTTGTACTAAATCAGCTATGAAAGCCAGGCCATTGTCCAACCCAATGCTGGTAGGAGATCCAAATGGAACTATCTCCCTAAGCAGGCACCTAGCTACTTCTGACGCTTTTTCAGTCTGGGTAGGAAAAGCTTCTACCCATCCTGAGAATGTACATAGCATGACCAGCAGGTAATAGTAGTGTCGGTGAGGTTTCATTTCAGTGAAGTCCACTTCCAGGTGTTCAAAGGGCAGCATGCGTTTTCGCTGAATACCCGGAGGTTTCTGTCTATGCCGAGAGGCAGCATTGACCTGTGAGCAGGCAGTGCAGTTCTGAGATTCTGTCCTGCATAGGGAAGAGAGGTGGGGAACCAAGAAATATTTTCCAATTAGCTCCTCCAGTTTATCATGGCCTAGGTGGGTCGCTTGGTGTGTTTGGCTTACCAGACTGGGTGCCAGCTCCTCTGGTACCAATAATTTGCCACTTGGCAATTCTCGCCATCCCTTTTTAGTCTTGACTTTGGCTAGTTGGTTTTGGGCTTCAGTGTATTTTTGAGAGTCTAGTGTTAGCTCAGGCAGCTCCACCAATATGAGAGCTTTAATAGGGGCTTCACTTGTCACCCCCAAGCCCTCAGCTACTTGTTTAGTGGTCTTATCTGCCAGTCTGTTTCCCCGAGCCCGGGGGATATCCTCTTTTTGATGTCCTTGGCAGTGTATGACTGCAACCCTTTCTGGTTCCCAGGCAGCATCTAATGAGGTCTTAATTTCTTCCTTATTTTTCACTAGCTGTCAAAAGCCCTCTCTCCTTGTACGGAGCCCCGTGTATGTGTAGTGTGGCAGTCTGTGTAAATGTTTGTCTTCTTACCTTCTGGCAGTTGGAGGGCCTGGATTAGAGCATATAGTTCAGCCTGTTGAGCGGACCAGTGTGATGGCAGAGAGCTAGTCTCAACGATGGTTTCTTCCATGCCTACTGCATATCCCCACAGTCCTTGTCCTCGTTTCACCAGGCTGGTGCCATTGGTGTACAGGACCAAATCTGGGTCTGGGATTGTCTGGTCTCTCAAGTCTGGTCTGCTGGCATATTTCCTTGCAATCATGTAAGGGCCCACCTTCTCCCACAGGTAGGAGAGTGGCCGGATTCAGGGCCTGACAAGGTTCAATAGTGACATAGGGGTTTTCACATAATAGTCCCTGGTATTGAGTAATCCGGGATGATGACAGCCATTTATGGGGGTGCCCTCGCAGGAGAGTGTTGACCTTATGTGGGACTTTTACGATCAAATCTCGGCCCAAAGTCAGCTTGGTTGCCTCCTGGACCAGTAAGGCAACTGCAGCAACTACCTGTAAGCATCCTGGATACCCAGGGGCAACACTGCCTAGCCATTCCGGGAGATAGGCCATGGGTCTGTCCCATGTCCCCACAGTCTGGGACAGCACTCCCATAGCCACCATGTCCTTTTCAGTCACTTTTTAAACAGTGACTTAAACACTTTTTAAACAGTCCTTTTCTGTTTAAAGAATAAACAGCTTAGCAAGGTCTGGCAGGCCCAAGGCGAGTGCTGACGTCATTGTACTGGGTTTGAGTTCTATTAGCAGTGAGACTTGTTTTGCAAGCCTGGGGGCGTTGTCTTTCACCCAGACCTCAGGGAATTGTTGAGTTAACTCTCTCGACTGTTTAGCCTGTCCGGTTTCCCTTCTGGGAGATCTGGCAACCTCCATTCATCTTGAGGGATTACCAAGAGTAAGAGTAAATAGGTGGTTGAGCCCATTCGAAAAGAGGGTCTTTCGTTGGGGGAAAGGTCACTTGTGCCCCCAATTTAGACAGCAAGTCTCTTCCCAACAAAGGTACTGGGCATTCAGGGATGTATAAAAATTCATGAGTCACTTGGTGTCCCCTCATCTGACATTTTTGGGGTAGGCTTGAGGCACAAAGGCTGCATTTATAACCCAGCAGCCTCTGGCTCTATTGGTGTATAAAGCCTACAGGCCTCACACAGTCTTTCGTGGAACTCAGAGGGTGATTCGCTTTCCCTTTGAATCACTTTGGAGGGTTTTGCCCCACTTATAGGTTTTTCAGGCCCCGCTCTTGAGCCCTTGTAAAACAGCCTCCTGATGTCTCTCCAGGGGGCCCCTCCCTTCCTCTGTGTTACAGTCCCAGTTGGGCCTCTCATCGGGGATGGCTAGTTCTGCCCACCGCTCAGGTTTGCAGTACCCTCAGGTGCCATTTCTCTTAGCCATTTTCTGGCCTCAATTAGGATCCTCTGTCTTTCCTCAGGGCTGAAAAGGGAGATTAGTAGTTGGATTATGTCATTCCATGTAGGGCAGTGGGTTCGAAAAATAGTCTCCCTTAGGCTAATCATGGCTTGTGGCTCCGCCGAGTATGGTGGAGTGTGTCTCTGCCTGTTTAATACATCCGTAGAGGAAAATGGCTGGTAATAATAGGCTACAGGGGGTGCTGATGGTAGTGCCCACACGCGTCCTGAACCGGAGGCTGTTGTAGCTCTCTGAGGGGCATCTGTAGTGGAGTTCTTGCCCCTGTCCCTTGGCAGAGCACAGCCTCTGTCTAATTCCTGTGTTTTCTTCCCTCTTCCCATCAGTACTCACCAGGAGAGGAGGATACAATCTAGGAGGTCCGGCTGAGGTGGAATCCTGGGGGCGTTGATCAGAAGTCTCCATCGCCGGGATTGGAGCCGCAGAAACCGTGGCTCTACGATCTCCAGGAGAGCTGGTGGAGGAGCAGCGGCGGCTGCAGGAACTTCACCCGGCCCTGGATTGGGCATTAAGGCGGCCTCCGGGCCTGGTGGAGCCCTGGGAGGCAGGCGCGTCATTACCCCGTACGGGGGAGGGGCCGGGTCATCCCCATCCAAATCCTGTAGAATTTCCTTTTTTATCATCAGTCAATTTTTGTGCCATTAATATTTTTCCCTTTCCCTTCTGGATATAGAACCTTATCCAAGCAGGAGGGTCTTGAGCTAACCCTAGCCATAAGTCAATATATGGATATTGATCCGGGTGTCCCGGCTCTCCTGTGACTACTGTATAGACTACTTTCACTATTTTTAAGTTCATGGTGTTCTCTGGTGGCCATCCTACTCCCATAGGGGGCCATTCGACCTCACAGTGTAGGTGGAAGCAGTTAGGCGTCACCTTCACCCCATGGTCTCCTCCAAATCCCATCTTTAAATTTTTAATCATGCACTCCAATACAGTTGCCTTAGACTTACTTCCCCGTATCTTGCTTACCTTCTCAGACCTTCTTCTACTTTTCCTTTTCGTTCTGTCTACGAAGTTCTCAGTACCCTATGTACTTCTGATATTCCCACTCAATGAAACACTTAAATTGCCATTCCGCCTCCTTCCTAGCTGGGGTGAGAAGAGCCTTACCTGCCAGATCCCAGAGGGAGAAGGGGGATTGGCATGTCTTCACCTGCCGGTCAGCACGGCCAAACCAGAACACCACGTGGTCCAAGACGGTTTCTCCCTTAACTTCTAAAGTCCGTTCTGCCTTGGTGGGGTTGATCAGGTACAGATGAAAACACAGATGGGTTAACTATCCCCTGTCCCAGGCCGTCTCCGGAAAAGCCAATTCGTACTCACTTACATATCCTCCTCCTTCCAGCCTGACAATTCCGAGGGGGTCAAGAATTTCACAGCAGCTGGGACACTTCCTTGGCAAGGGAAGACTGCAAGGACATAAGGACCAAGTTTCTTCTCCTAAAAACCCCTGGCGATTACTTGGTAATAATTCTCCCCAAGACAGCGTGGACACCATCTCCTGAATGATATTCACAAATTCCCTCCCTAAGCCCTAACAGGTTCGTCAACCTGTGTACCAAGCAATCGCTGCCACCTGCCTATTCCAGGTTCCTGTGGGTCCGAGCCCCTTCTAGTCCCTCCCAGGGGGCTGATTAGGGCCCCTCTTCCACACTGCCGGGTGGGTGGGTTCCTCCTCGACTGAGCACTCAGTTCCCCTGCTGCCGTCCACTACCTGCTAAGGTGAAAGTTCTGGCCGTTGAGAAGCAGAATCCTTCCAGAAGGGCGGGCAGCCTCCCCACCTCTAGAAGATTCAAGCCGCAAGGCCTCAGAGTCCCAAATGGGACTCGTCTCCTCAAAGTGAGGAGTTTCCTGGCCCAAGCACCAAATGTAGCCAAGCATTCTGGGAAACAAACTCACTCAGAAGGACAATGCAGATAGTGGAGTGCAGTGTATTACACCGGCGGGTCCAAGGCAGAGTCTCCTCTTAGCCAAGGGCCCCGACCGGTTTTTGTGAAAACCTTATATACCCTAAGTGTACGTGCTCAAACCCACCTCCCCAAATTCTCTGAAACTAGTCTGGACAAAGGAAAAGAAAGATACAAAGTTAACCTGTGATTCATATGCCTTAAGCCTAGATAGTTAACAGTGGACGATTATCAATAGGCCTATGGTCATACCCCAATAAGCATAATAGAATTTATGATTCTATGCAGTTACACAGATAATTAGGGTATTTTTTTAGGTGACGGACAGTCTAGGTACAAGCCCTGGGACTCTTCCATAGTCGGCGGCGGGGGGTCTGGTTTTCCAGTTGGTATGTTGTTTTCATAAATACTGAGCACATAGCTCAAAGTCCACAGTCCAGCCAAGGATGGAGTCCTGCTTTCAAGATGGAACCTGTTCTGTCTTTTTCCTCCTTCAGAAGGATTCCATAGGTTTGTGGTGGTGGTGGTGTGCGTGACCTCCTGTGTGACAGAAGGAGGGGACATTGTTATTGAAACCAGGCAGGACCCGCCGGTGCCTTCCGCAGGACCATAGCCCCTCTGGGTCCCATTTCTTGTTTGTGGGAAAAGGCTTTAATCTCCTAAGCCTTCTCTGAGTTCCAGAGAGCAGTCTCAAGCAGTTACAGATTAGGGAAGTGAGGGGACACAGAAACTAAGAGAAAGCAGTTAAGCAAGAAAAGTAATGAGAGCCTAAACAATAGTTCAAGGATAAAAGAGAGCCCTATGACTTCCCAAGGGATGTACATAGCCACTTGACACCTATCTTTGAGTTGTCTTACCGAACCTGAGACTGCTGCCCCCCACCCAGGTGGAAGATGCTGACTACATGCGGACCACCAGCACGGTGAACCCAAATGGGTTGGGACCAGACGTCTGATGATTAAGATTCTCCAAACATCACCTTGTCAACTCTCCAGCAACCAATCAGAAGAAAGACTGCAAGCTGCAAGGCTCACCCAAAATATTGCCTTTAAAACCCTTCACTGAGGACTTCCCTGGTGGTCCAGTGGTTAAGACTCTGCGCTCCCAAGGCAGGGGGCACAAGTTTGATCCCTGGTCGGGGAACTAAGATCCCACATGCCTCTCGGTGTGACCAACAAATTAATTGATTAAAAGAAACCCATCTGAAAGCCATCAGGGACTTTGGGTCTTTTGAGCATGAGTTGCCCATTCTGCATGCTTGGTGCCCTACAGTAAACACTGTTTTTTCTTTCACCCCAACCCGGTGTCAATAGATTGCTTTACTGCTTTGCGAGGGAGGAGACCCCAAACCAGGTTTGGTAACACTGTTTCCACCACTGGTGGGAGGCAGCCTGGCTGTAGAGTTCTTCTGGGACAGCTATTGCTAATGATCATTAACTATTGCTGTGATTTCTCTAAGCCATCTTTAATGTTACCACAATGGGATTATTCTTGGTGGGAGGGGGTGGGGGTAGGGGAGAACGGCAATGTTTGAAAAAATTTTATTAGGGATTTTGTCCTATTTCTAGTTCTTTAGGAATAGACTCTCCCTCCATTTCTCAGGAGTTACGAAATAGAAATTTTCTCATACCTAGATTTCTCTGGTGGTCCAGTGGTTAAGAATCAGTCTGCCAATGCAGGGGACACAGGTTCTATTCCTGGTCTGGGGAGATTCCACATGGTTCGGGGCAACTAAGCCCATGCACCACAACTACTGGGCCTGTGCTTTTGAGCCCACAAGCCATGACTACATGACTACAGACGAGCCCTCGAGTCCACGCTCTGCAGCAAGCGAAGCCACTGCATTGAGAAGCCGGAGCACCGCAACTAGAGAGTAGCTCCCCACTCGCGACTACTAGAGAAAGTCCGTGGCAGTGAAGATACAACACAGCCAAAAATAAATAAAGAAATACTTTTTTTAAAAGGAGCGCCTCTCCTTTAAAAACCTTCTTTTGTTTCTTTCTCACGCCTTTTGAGGAAGGCAGCGTGACCCAAAATAGGAGACAGGGTGCATGTATCTCAGTTGTCTGTGTGCCAATGACTGTCATCTCGGCTGATTTAGTGCAGATTCTAAATCTGGCTGATATCTTCTGCAAGTAATGGCGTGCATTTCAAACTGGTCGAGTGGCTCTTTGAGAGGCTCCGAGCTTCAGGGCAGAGGTGGGCCCTAGGAAACCACTTGATTCCCCTCCCTATGTGTCTGTTCTCTCTCCCCTCGGCTGTGATGTCCTCCCGGCCTGCTCCGCCTGGTCTGGGCAGTTTGCCATCAGCCCACTCTCCTCCCAGCTACTCAGTCTAGTTCTACCTTTCCGGGAGCATGGATTTTTTAGCCCTATAGCTCTAAAGGGTTTTTCCCACTATCCTCTGAGAAGACCCCATATAGATGCATTCAGGGCTGATTGTAAGACCAGAAGCGGGACAGCAGGTTAGCAGAGGCCCTGTCCCCTTCAATGCTTCTTGCCTTCATAAAGTATGTTCTGCTTTTAGTTGTTGTTTAGTCACTAAGTCGTGTCCCACTCTTTTGTGACCCCATGTGCTGTAGCCCGCCAGGCTCCTCTGTCCATGGGATTTTTCCCAATAAGAATACTGGAGAGGGTTGCCATTTCTTTCTCCAGGGGATCTTCCTGACCCAGGGATTGAACCATCTCCTGCATTGGCAGGCAGTTTCTTTACTGCTTAGCCACCAAAGAAGCATCTTGCTTTTACCTGTTTCATATATTAGCAGCCAGAGAAGGAAGATTTCTATTGAAGAAAGTGTTACAGTTCTCCAAAAGGAGATATTGAAACCAATAACATTCTAATGTTGGAAGATGGTCTTCCTAGGATGCTGCTGCTGCTGCTAAGTCACTTCAGTCATGTCCAACTCTGTGTGACTCCATCTCTAGGATTCTCCAGGCAAGAACACTGGAGTGGGTTGCCATTTCCTTCTCCAATGCATAAAAGTGAAAAGTGAAAGTGAAGTCGCTCAGTCATGTCCGACTCTTCGCGACCCCATGGACTGCAGCCTACCAGGCTCCTCCGTTCATGGGATTTTCCAGGCAAGAGTACTGGAGTGGGGTGCCATTGCCTTCTCCACTTCCTAGAATAATCGTGATGAAAATCATATTTCCAGAAACCTCTGCTTATTTCTCCAACCATATTGTTTCTCTACTTGTTTAAAGAATATTTACTTATTTATTCTTACTTAGGAAGATCCTCTGGAGGAGAAAATGGCAACCCACTCCAGTATTCTTACTTGGGAAATCCCATGGACAGAGGAGCCTGATGAGCTACAGACCAAGAGTTGCAGAGTCAGACATGATCGAACTGACTTAGCATGCACTAACTCTTGGGCATAAATATTTGATCCTTATCTGAGGAAGAACTTTTGATTAAAGCTTCCTTGTAGAAAATACACAAACGTATATATATATAAAAGCAAAAAATTGTTTATCATTTCAATCAAGGGATTTCCCTGGTGGTCCAGTGGTTAGGACTCCTAACCCCAGTTTTCACTGCTGGGGCTTTGTCTCAATCCCTGGTAGGGGAACTAAAATCCCGAAAGTCCCACAGAGTGGTCAAAACCAGAGCAAACCAGTATCAGTCAAATGACAAACCTTGTCCTCGTG